CCCCCCCCCCCCCCCCCCCCGGAAATCGCTGCTACCCTTTATTGCCTGGCACCCAGTTTCGCCATGCCCAATAAATTCTGCGGTGTGCCTGCGACGGGCTTGGTTGTCATACGGTGTCATTACAGAGGTGCTGAATGCACAGAATTTATGCCAGTTACTTTCGAGTCCTCATGGTGGCCCGCCCTCCCCCTCGGCCAATTAAATTAAACATTTCACACGTCGCCAGCTGTTTTGCACCAGACTGAAGGCTAATTTAATTGGCCAGTGGGGAGGGGGGGCAGAGCCGAATCGCATGGCTTAAACTCCTGCTGCTCGCTGGGCCCAGCCGAGGGTGACGCATTTGCCAAAATGCCCCTGGAGCCCAGCGACGGGGCAGCTCTGTGAATCTTGCCGCCCCTGGGACCCCAGTGTCGTTTTTGCCCTCTCTGATGCCATCGTCCGTTGGCATTCAGGAAGCGGAGGAGATGCACATCAAGGCCATCCAGATCAAGGAGCAGCTGCTGGGCCAGGAGGACTACGAGGTGGCACTGTCCGTGGGCCACCTGGCATCCCTCTACAACTACGACATGAACCAGTACGAGGACGCCGAGAAGCTGTACCTGCGCTCGATCGCCATCGGTAAGTAGGATGGGCCACCTTGACCTCGTGAGGTGCAGTGCAAGGGGTCACGTACGGCTCGTTCTGACTGTCACCGCCTCCCTTGGGCCACACAGGCAAGAAGCTGTTCGGCGAGGGTTACAGCGGCCTGGAATATGACTACAGGGGCCTGATTAAGCTCTACAATTCGGTGGGCAACTATGAGAAGGTTTTTGAGTATCACAACGTCCTGTCCAACTGGAACCGGCTGCGGGACCGGCAGTTTGCGGTGGCGGACGCCCTGGAGGACGTGAACACCAGCCCACAGGCCACACAGGAGGTGGTACAGGCTTTCTTGCTGTCCCAGAGTCACGGGGCCGGCCGGCCCTGCCTTGGATAACCTCTGTGCGTCTGCATGCGGATTCACACGGTCACACACACAGACACACACACGCGCACACACACATGCACTCAACACCTGGTACACAGATCTGTGTACGTGGATATATGGATGGACCCGAACCAGGGATTAAACTGCCCACAGCGCCACCTAGGGTTGGGACTGCCGAAGGACAGCAGGTTTGGAGGGGTGCCCTGGGCTGTGTAGTAAATGCTGCCCTGGCATCTCACCCTCTCACCAGCAGCTGCCTCTGCCCAACCCCTAGCCCCCCACCCCAGCCACCTAGGCACGCTAACTGGGGACCGAAGAGACACACCAAGGAGCCAAGCATCTCGCCATCGTCTGGACCGTTGCTGCGTGCAGCTTTACGGGAGCCCGGATCCAGAAACATGTCCGAGCTCCACAAAGTCCTTCAGTTCTCAGAAATGTATGATAACCTCTGTGGGATTTAATTTTTTTTTTTTCTTCACAACAGTAGTTTTCATTTGCCACAGGAATTCACTGTGCCCCCACCCTCCGCCATCTCGCTTACAATGGATTGAGTTATTTACAGTGGATGGGTTGCAGCCCCTCTCCCAGGCCTGGTCGAGCTCTCTGGCCTCAGGAAGTAGGCGGCTGGGTGGAGCTGCTGAGTGTCCCCCACTGGCTGATCCCTCTGTCCCAGCAGACAGAACGTGCACACGCTCCCAAAGCCGTGTGAGTTTCTCATTGTAGTACACGAAACGCATGCTTTTGGAGAACTGCAGTACGTTTTCTTAAACCACCCTAGATCCTGCAGTAAACTTCTTCTTTAAAGGACTTCCTTTGTCCTTCGAAAGTAATAGAAAATTATTGGATCGGACAAGTAGAAAACGGACCAATTTCTTACCTCTTCAAAGGTCAGAAGTTCATAATTTGAACTGAACATGGAGAAAAACCTTATAGCAGACGTCTTTCCCGTAGAGAACGGTCACACCCTAAACATCTTCAGATACAAGTGTGATATGGTGCATTGCTGACAGTATTAGGCATGTTCTGCGAGGGAATGTCCTTGGAGTGGTGTGGTCCTGACAGTTAACCCAAGTTCACCCCCATTCTCCATTTGGCTACGTTGGCTAAAAGTTTGATTGGGTCAAGAGCTCTGTCCATCGCATTAGTGTGTGTCCACGTGTCCTTGCTGGAGGCAGAGCCAGCTTGTGTCCTCCTGTCTTTTTTTTTTCTTCTCCTAGTGCCTGCTTACCCACCTGGCCTGGTTTGGAAGCATGTATTTGAGCAGGTCACCCTCACTGTAGTACTTGGAGGGCCTGGCCAGTGTCGCTGACTGGGATTCTGGGGTTACCTGGATCCACTTACAGATACACATTTGATTTCTCTGGTATGGAGATCCTGAGAGGGCGGGCTCTTGGAATGGTGATTTGGAAACTCGTTTCCAAATTTGGAACATTCCATATGTTTAGCTGGCATAAATGCCCTGTTTTTGCCACAGATTACTCCCTCCTCACTTCTACTGGAGCAGCCTATTGTGTTTTTGTAGCCTAAGCAGCTCAGGCTTGTGCAGGCTTCAGCGCACTGAGGTTAGCTGTCAATCCTGGTGGTTGTTACGGACTTAAGTTTTTGTCATCGGTGGTCTTTTTGCAAGTGTAGTTATAGGCCCGTATTTGGCTGCCGTCCAGGCCTGAGGCCTTAAACAGACACACGGACTTGGTGCTCTGGTTCTGTCCAGTATTCGCTGATCATCTGAGCCGCCCAACTGCAGGCAGGCAGGTCCCGAAAGAGAGCCCAGTCTCGAAAGAGAGCCCAGTCCCGCCCAGGTAGCCCAAGGCTGCCGCACACCACAGATGCCGTTTCTGGCTGCTCGACCTGCATGGGGTGACTTGCTGAAGACTAATAACATTTGTGTTAGGAACATTAAATGAGAAGGGTAGGATGTGTCCCTGTGGTCCTCGCTCTAGTTGTCATGTTTTCTCCATACAGAATGAGGGGTTGACAGGGTCATTGGGTAAAACCCTTGCAATAGAAGCATGAAGGTACATTTCTGTTTATCCAACTGTCAGATGGAACTTGAGTTGGATATTTATACGCGAGCACACACTGCTTTCATTTCTTCCCCTCCTGAAATCTTATGTTGTCAAGTTCCTGATGATTATTGCACGCTACACTGCAGTGGTCTTGCTGGTTTTCATTTATCGTCATGTTCAGTCGCCATATTGGCCACGTTCTTTCACCTCATTCACTCGTCTAGCAGTAGCAAACTTTGAAGGTTCAGAGGCAGTATTTCTTGGAAAGAAGGTGCATTATAAAACCTCTGCAATTACGTATTGCATTGCAGCATTTTTACATGAGCTATTTATTACAGTGCGAGTAACGTTACTTCGGTTGGGTCCCAGTGAATGTTAAATTAAGGGTGTGTATTCTCCTGAAGTGGTATTCTTTAAATGTTGTACTTAGTTGAAATGTGGATGGAGTATATTTGTGTGTGCGTGTGTGCGTGCTTCTGTTACTGCTGCGTCATTCAAATTGGATAGTAAAAGCAATGGGGTGACACGTCGGGGGGGTGGGGGGGGGTCAAGATTGAAGGACATTACATAGTCACGTGTAAGCAGTCACTCCTCTGTCAGGTGTGTAAAACACAGCGAAGTTTGGTGGAGGTCAGACTGTGTGAAATGGCCCTACATGAGTCTAATTCATTGACACTCTCTCAGCCTGATACAGGGGGGATCTTGTCCTTTTTTTTGTTCTTATTTGTTCCTATTTTATTGCCAGTTTGGTGTATTTTAGGTGAAGAAGTACAGCTGACGTTGTGCAGTGTAGGTGTTGTGCCCGAACTGGTGGTCAATGTCAAGGTCAAACTTGTCGCCCCTAGATGTGTGACCTTTGTGAGCGCATGTCATATATGAGGAAATTGTAATTGATGAGTTTCGAAGACTAAATGCAAAAGCACAACCCAGCAGTGAAAAGCTAACTCCTGGTTCTCTCCATAACATGGAGGAACAAGTGGAAATGCAGAGGGAATTCCTAAATGTGCCTCTCGAAATTGGGGGGGGGACATTAAGATCCGTGGCCTCTCGACCTTCGTCATGGACAGTTGTTCGGTTTTCATCTAACTCGGCGGGAGGCCGTGGAGGGAAGCTGCGGCTTGAGCGAATGAGGCGCTGAGCATGTAGCCGGCCTGTTATACCTGTGGGCGGGGCTCAGTTAAAGGCACCGCACCTTCAGCTCCCGGGAGAGCAAGCTGGGCGTTTGAATGTACAGGTCGCCATCACACAAACCCCCTGGCTCTTTGGGAGGGCAGATTCCAGTAATGCAGGCTTTGTTGTTGTTTACTGATACTCATGTTTTTTTTTGTTTTTTTTTTTTTAATTTTATTTTTTTGAGTCTTCTGCCTCGCTCCTTTTTGTTTGTGGCTGCAATGTGAAGCTCACAGAGGAGGGTGGGGGGGTTAAGTATCCTGACAAGTCATTTTAAAAGTTATCCTGCTTATATATTACGTGAATGGGAGGAAAAAAAGTGCTTGAAAATACTAATTTGATTCCATGATGCTACTACTATTTTTGTATTTTTCATCGACCGTCTAGCAGTGAGATTTTAGGCTTTTCGTGCTTCAACTGAGAAGATGAAGGAACCAGTACAGATCATTAGGAACCGTCAAACACATCCACGTCCGCTCCGAGAACCTGATCTGTAGTGCCACAGCAAGCTTGTGTATAGATAGACCTTGCTACCTTTTAAACTGAATATTTGGTTTTTTGTGTACAAATAAAGTACAAATTGCAACAAAACTTTGACTGTACAATAGTCGGCAATGCCCAACATCATGTAACCATCAAATCATATTAAACATTTGTATCCAACATTGTGAATTTCTGTAACTACTGCTTAAAGGAAAAAAAAACTGCTAAATATAGTGTTGATGCAGTTTTGTACTTTGTTTCTTTTTTTGCCTGCTGTCATTTCAGATGAAAGTGGAGGATTAACCTTCTCTAGGTTCACACTTAATCGTGTCCAGTATGCACCCCTCAAATGAACAGGAAATGTATTTTTTATCTATTTCCCTTCAGAAGATCCTTAGACAAAAGATATAGACATGATGGTCCCCAGTATAACTTAGTAAGCCAATGTCATACCCCAGGCTCGTTCTTATTAAAAATGTCTTTTCCAGTTGGGGCAACAAACTGACAATGTGATCTGCCAATTTCCCAGAAAAGGATAGAATAATTCTCTTTGGCATAAAATTCTCCTCTTTTGCAGATTTGCTTCCTTGTACTGTACACATTTCTTTCATTTTTTAGCTTCTAGTATAATGAGCCGCATGCCTAGCAGAAAAAATCCATCTATTACTGAATATTCCAGCTGTTTACACTGGTCAGCATTGTGGGGGTGCCTGGAGCCTATCCCAGGCCACCCTAGGCAGACATACACCCTAGATGTTATGCCAGTCCATCCCAAGGCACACATATACATGCTAGGGGCAACTGCGTGACACGAGTTGGTCTAACTGCGGTACTTTTTGCAGTGGGAAATCCGGGCTACATGGGGAGAGCATGCAAACTCACACACACTGGATGCAGAACTGAAACCCCCACCACTGTACCCATGAGCCACCTCCAGTGAAATGTCATGAATAATCCATCCATTTTCTGAAACCGCTGAATCCCAACTGGGGTCGTGGGGGGGACCGGAGCCTATCCCGGGAACAATGGTCAGTCGCCAATACACCGCAGGGTGCACGTGCACGTGCACGTGCACACACAACTACAGGGCCAATTTACACCAATCAACCTACCCACCTGTCATGAATAATGTATTCATGAATTACATTAAAAGACATACACAAGGCAATACTTTTAGGTATATTTTATTCCTATTCTGGAGTTACCTTCAAAAGCACTAAAATAATTATAAGATGTCTATGAACAATGCAAAGCAGCTTACACACGTATACATACCACTTTTTCATGTTCTCGGCAGAATCAAACCTTCCTTTGCAGCCTGCTTAAGAGTAACACAAAGTATAAATAACATGCTGGCAGGCAGATTGCTTCTCTAAGCATTCCAGTCCTGGAAGCGAAGCTCTGACAGGCCAAGTGCAATTATGTCCTACTGGATCCGTTAATAGTAGGATGTAGGTTCAGTTATAATAATCGTGCTCCTCTCACTCCACCTTTTTTAGCAGCGTCTGATTTCTGGTGAGGAACCTGACGTGGGTCCAGATGCACCATATCTGAAAGAGATGATTGGGATGTTACTGGATTTGATGATGAAGCAGGTGGAAGCTCCCAGATGCTCAAGTACACAGAACTGGCACTCCTACGGTGTCTTTCAGCAAAAATACTTATCTTTGACTTATAGAACCTGAAAATGTAGCCACCTACCTCCACAGAAAGGCACAGCAGCCGGCCCATGGAGAGTAAGAGGGTTCCCAGAGTTTGTAGCCAGGCTGGCAGGTGGAGGATCTGGGTAAGGATACCCATCTGGAGACCATACAACCACATAGGCAGAATGTGTAGACCACTGATCGCCAGTACTCCGAGAGGACTTTTAAAACCTGCACAGAAGAAAAGGGTGTTTGGCGGGGGAGGGAAATGATCACAGCGAAGCCATTGAAGTATGGCTGCATTTCAGAAACACTGCAATGATATCAGTGTACCGCGCTATGAAATAATGCTTAATTTTGAGTGGTCAAGTGACTGCACAGGCACTGTGAGTCAGGGAAAGAGTTCTCTCACTGTTGGCCATGACAGCCCGGACCCAACGAGGACTCTCAGAGAAGGAGCATTTCCACTCAGCACCATGGTCTCTGTGATTACACACGAACACACTCCATTCCAATGAGGGCACCAGCCAACCCCACTGGAGGGAGGGAGAGAGAGAGGGAGGTATGACGTACCTGTGCACTAAAACCATGGCTCATCGTTTCTTCTGTATAGCGAAAAGTAAATCTTTCACTTAGAAGACAAAAAAAAACATTGTCATAATAAACGTACACGTTTTAGTATATGTTATATACAAGTATCACATTTTTAAATAATTCGATGCAATGTTACCAAATTATAATTTGGAAGAAAACAGCATGCCAGCTAAATCCCTATATGTATTACAATCACAAGCAACGAGTAATACGGCGTGCATGCCTGAAACAGCATGCTCCATAACATCCCCCGTCCAGTGTTGTCAATGACTACATCCAGCCAGGCTCCCAGTTCGGAGGTCTGCTTGAGGCGGCGCGCCACGAAGCCATCCACCCCTGCAAAAGGAAATCACTACATACAAATCGGCTATATATATATATCATATCCTGTGCCACTAGTATCTATAGTATATCCACATTGTGCCTGGTTGTATTTGGACTGAAACTATTGTTAGCAATCATCACTGAAGATTTTAAGCTACATTTATGTAGCAGACGCTTTAATTCAAAGTGACGTACAAGTATGGACACTACAGAAATACGTGCTGTCGAGGAGTCGAATGAGCAAAAGTGCGGCTAGGCTGAGCTTCCGATGAAAGCCCAGTTACAGTTACAAGTGTAACTAGCAGAACTTCAGATTAAACAACTAGCGCTTCTTTTTAGCGATTAACAGTTTATGTCTTTTCGAGTCAGCTATGCAATACATTCACAACGTATTTCATTACCGTCCAATATGACAGAAATGCCATAGCACGGGACGAAAATCTCTGGATTGTTGAAACCAGCCCATGCTGCAAGGACTAAAAGGACCCGGATATAACCTGTAAATAATGAGATATTAATGAGACGTTGACTATCACGATAATACGCAAAACACACATAAAAGTACATCTAAAGATTACATAGGCTTTTTTACCTTACCAATTAAATTAGGCACATACAATAAAACTTCGAGTCCCATTTCAGTCACCTTCCAGGGATTTCAACCGATTGAAAGCTAAGCCCATAATAACATCAGAAAACGTGTGACGTTTTTGAAACCACAGCAACAGTTGTCAGGAGCCGGTTACCGGGAATCACTGGCGCTCTTCTGCTTCTGCCGTAAAAGAGTTGCAATAATGCTTGTTGCGTCACTTCCCAAAACAAAAGACAACTTCCGCTTATTCCACATGAATGCAGCGTTGGTGCTACTAAAGAACTTAAATTTCCTTGTTGCACTTTTTTTGATGTACTAATATGTTTGCGGATCTAATGCAATAAAGGGGGTTTATTATAAAATATATAAATTATAATTATTCAAACGGATTTGACAAATGCCACTGACGAATGGATGGATGGATGGATAGATAGATAGGAAATGTTAAGTACGTTAATGTCAGTGTGTCAGCTAATTGAGGATTCTTTCGGATAACATGATGCAATGTTTAAACTCGTATAAAGTAATATGGGAGGTTAGCTTTTCATTACATTTAAAACATGTAACAGAAGATACGTGCCCTCTACAAACCTAGACACCAAAGTATTACAGTTTCTGTCCATTTAGTTACATACTTCAGCTAAAGTTCTGGTACAACAATAAATAGGTCCCTGATAAGATGCATGGGCTTTCCGGGGAATATTGCCTCACACGCGGAGCAGAGGTGTATTCGAGCACCCAACCCTCGAGGTATTATGCAATTGTACTAGTCACTGAGTTACTGTAATCATCCTTCTAATTTTTCTTGCAATGTGACTTGCACTGTGTTTTAGCTTCGCAACGCTTTGATGGTGGTACTTCATTTAATGACCTCTAGGGGACGGTAACGTCTCCTGCTTCTTCTAGCAGCCCCTTGTGATTTATTACTCAGACAACTCGAGTTTGATAAAGCTTCACTTACTAACAAATAAATAAAATACGTGATAAAATGGTGCAAAATTATTTATTTTTCTATAAAGTGCAATTCACGTATGCACGACGCTTGATTCAAGAAGTCATTGATAATTATGGATTATAACTATCCTTTGGTAAGACGACAAAAAAATTACGCAACGCACTGCAGACGGACTGGTATTTTCAATTGAACATTTAAGTGAAAGTAGTATTATATCGTTATGCAAGAGGTTTGCATAACTTCCCGTGCTAATAAAAGAAGGCTATGGAGAAAAAAAAAGTCACCCGACTGAACTTCAAAGCGCCGCCGCATCTTTCAGAAGCATGCGCGCCCTCGCCGTATTGTTTCCTTTTCCTACCTCGTCAGGTGACCTGCCGGGACTCTGGTCATGTGACTAAGCATGGAGGCGTCGGCGACGAGAAGCGTCACTCCGCGAAAACACTGAGGCCACAGGGGGGGGCTGGGAACGGGCGCACAATAAACGGAAAAAGGCAACAGGCAGCGCTCTTACATCTAACATTTATATTGCTATGAAATGAGGGCAACATGGGTGCCAAGGAGTCAAGGATAGGCTTTCTCTCGTACGACGAGGCCGTCAAGAGAGGTGAGCGTCAAGTCGGCCGCCTTAATTTGCGCTTAAAGCCATCGCAGCCGCTAGCTGGGCTAAAGCAGCCGCCGGCTAACAAACTCCTAAGTGTCGGCGCACCGCATAGTTGGGGACGGCGAAGGTGGGGCTGGCTTGCCGGTCAGCCTGCTGTCAGTGTCACAGCCTTCCCACGATTATGTTTACAAGCGTGTTTGTAATATTTGCTGTGGCCTTGTCCGGCTCTGTCTAACGCTAAATGCGACGCATCCTCCTGGCTTGCAATGCAAGTGCAAAGCTGTCATTAGGGGTTTATGGGTTGTATTTGTTGGTGAGCTATACAGATAACTTACCCATGTAATTTTTTATATTTGAGATTTGTTTTCATGTATCAGACTCGAGGGTCACTTTCCTCCGATCCCTATATGTAAACTATTTTATTCTTATGGACCGACGCCCAGGAGATTTATGCAGCATGTTTAAGTATGGAGCTGTAGGGGAACTGGGACACTCAGAGGTTAGATATCCATAGATTCCGATACACGACCACGATCGGTCAGTTTTTCATGAAAATGCGAGCTGAGGATGGCATTTTATTTCTCCCACCAGCGGTGACTGTGCCCCTAGAGTCTGTTTTCACCTAGAATTAGGATGGTTTTCTTAAGTACGATTTATAAGCGGAGAAGTGAAATGTCAAAAATGGGTTGGTGAGCGGGTTGTGACAGTGTTGATCGCCGTCTCATTAAATGTGTAACTATTAAAAGCCCCAAACGTGTCACGTATTTCAAACAGGCTCTTCCGCTTCGTGTAAAGAAACTATTTACGCATCATTCATAAGGTTTAATTATTGCCCATCGCAAGCTTCCTAAATGGCGAAGATGGTTGCGTTTTGTTTTTTTTTTAGCTGTCGCTTAATGATCTCTGTCACTGCACCAGGGTCATGCAGAGGCTGTGACGACGGTCAGCTGTGTGTTTTTTTTTACCGATATATATTTTTTCTTTTTAGTTTAACATCTAGATACAAAATATGATATTGGTTTTACTTTATCCCAACTTGGAGGAATCGGCCAAACCCTTCATCACCCGCTAATCTCACATTTCAAACCAGGTCTTGACAGTCTAATATGAAATTCGAAATTTATGTGGGTATATCCTTAGATTTGGTCAATGTGTCCCATGCATACACACACACACACACACACACACACACACATATATATACACATATATATATATAATGTAAGGACTCTGTTTCTGCGTTTAGGTGTTTGCTGATTATTCTTCTGTCAAGTAAAGGTAGAAGTGAAATTAAAAGTTCTGAATCTGTATATGTTGTATGTAATATTTGTTTAAATTTAGTCTCCTTTCTCTTTCACCATCAGAGGGTTATTTAATCATAAACGTGTCAAATAACTAAATGTGTAACAGAAAAAGTAGAATATTATGCAAATAAGGTGGAGGGGGATCTTCCTGAAGGGCCTGGGTGACTGTAAAGGTCATCTTTAATCACCAACTTTGACATGGATTGGTGGAACGAAGTGCAGCTCAAAAGTTTTCTTGGTCAGGGGAAACCCCTCTCCGTCACCTTTACGTAAACAGTGTTTCATGTTACAGCTCCTGTCTTTCACTGGTGGGTAGGTACAGTCTTGATTATCATACCAAAATGAATGGGGTTTTTTGTGTGTTATTTTTTTCTTTCAGTCTTTACTTTTTGGTTAATTGCTTTCATTTTGTTTCTGAGGTAGAAAAATGTAGGGAGTGGGGGAATGGAGCTGGTATGTGGCTTAGTGGGTTAGTATGCTGTGTCTCTGATCGGAAGGTTGCCTGTTCAAATCTCAGGGTTGTCAGAGTGATGTCATTCTTGGGCCCCTGTATAAGGCCCTTAACCCCCAGATACTCCAGGTACTAACTGATCCTGCTATCTCAGTTTTATGTTATTAAATAAAAAGTAAATCTCTTCCAGGAACAGAAGGGTATGGACCCCCCAAATGCGGAATGGGCCGGGCCTGGTGCACTGCCAGTGGATAGAGAGAGAGAGCGCATGCATTACTGAGGCCATTGCATGGCTTTTAGTTTTTTTTTTTTTAACTCCCATTTGTGACGGTTTTCTTTGGAATTTTGAATTTCCACCATGAGAGCGGCCCCCACCTGAACCCGTGGCCTCATGGCGAGTCAGGAGCCACTTCCTGGGTGTCGAGCTGAGAGCCCTGTGGCGTCAGCGGCTCTTATCTGTCATCCTTCCCCTGATGACTCGGCCTGTTCTGCTCTCGCTTTGCATCTGATATGATTGTTTATTTTATCCTCTAGGAAAAATTTATTCCAGGAAACGTTCTAGGTGGGAAGCGGGGAGCTTTTTTTATTGCGTCGTCATGTCACGGTTGTCAAAAAAAATGACACACTGAGTTGTGGTGGTTTTTATTACCCCCCCCCCCCCATCAGCACGTTTATGCATTCTTGACAGAAGACTTTGAACAATGACTGACTCTGTTCAACAGGAGTGACGTCTGCGTTCTGCGTGTTTGCTTTGCATCCTTGTTGTGGAACGGTATGATAGGACGCTGTGATTGGAATGTTGCCGGTTCAGTCCCTCGGTCAGCAGCATGATTTCACCACTGGGCCATTGAACAAGACCCTTAACCCCCAATTGCTCCAGGGACTGTCAAATTCTGCCTTCTCGGTTGTCTTTCACTGTGGATAATAGCATTTGCAAAATTACTAAACATGCGTCATAAATCTATCTCCAGATGAATTTCGTTTCCTTTACGATAAATCTCAGCTGCCCCCACTTTTGAAGCCCTGAAGCGTAGTTACAGGTGTCGAGTACCTGGCCCCCTGCTCTTTTCTGCCCTGGGCCGTTTTCGGATTATGGCCGGTCTCTGAGACTGCTGTGTGTTTGGAGGTAGAACATTGGACACGAGCCCCCAGCACACCGGCAGAATCGGGCCCATTGTCTGGCCTGCTTTCCTCGCACGGGGTTATGGCACATTCTCCATCATTGTTTCCTGCCGTATTGGAATATAAATATATTACATCACACTGTCACAGTGCGAGTAGTGTTGACACTGTGTGAGAGGCTTTGTCTTTTGTCTTTTGTTCTTTCATCAGTTTGGCTCTGCTGTTAGGTCCTTGCGAGACAGATCTCAGATCATTTTTGAACATCATCAGCTATAAGCTGTCATGGTAACAAACATGTTAGTATATATGGTGGCAAATGTTGCCTTTGACACTTTTCACTGCTGCTTTTGGTTCCATTCAAATCAGCTTTGAGTTTCAATCATGGTTGTGAAAATGTGTAAGACCGGAATGGAATCACATAGACTGGAAGAGTCACGGGAAATGGATGACAGCTTATGCGTTCAGAAGGGTGCTGTGGCGAGATTTGCTTGGAAACAATGGTGTTAATGTCAAGGACATCAATTCAGTCCTTAAATCCATATTTATTGGATTCCGTGTATTGCTGTGGTGTTCAGGCCAGGGATCTGCCTAATGGGGCAGTGGTGGCTTAATGGTTAGGGAAGCACACTTGTGATTGAAAGGTTGTTGGTTTGAATCCCTGACCAGCAAGGTGCCAGTGAGATACACAGAGCAAGTTACTGCCCCCAAGCACTGCCCCATGGGCACTGAATTAGCTTTCCAGTGCTATGTAACGATGTCACATATGGGGTTAAATGCAGAGGACACATTTCTTTGATGTACACAGTGTGCTGTGGTGTGTCAGCAATGACAATTAATCACATTCACTATTCAATAATGTTAGCTCACGATCTCTATGGCGTGGGGCCGCATTACTTTTCCGTGTCACTGAGTTGTTAACCGGCCTGTAAACACAGGAGCGGCCCCTGCTTCACACTGGGATAGCAGCCTCTCCGTCCGGATGACATGGCTGCACCTTGGCCGCTGTCCAGTCTTCGATGGATAGTGGCACCGCGGTGGCTGTCTTAGAGGAAGGAAAAGGAAAGAAAATTCAGGAAGCGGCACGAGAGCCCCACTGGAATCGGCCACCTGACATGCTTTCTCCGCCATCGCGGTTTCCCTTTGCCCCCCCCCCCCATTAAAGTGTGCGACACCTGCACTAAAGAGGGTTTTAGGAATATTTTTATTATTTGTTAGTATTTCCATCCCCTTGGCTCACACCTTTGCAGTGCATGTGGTCGTTTCAGTGGGCAATTTATGGTCCTATTGTGGTTTCCAGCGTGCCAGTGAAGACCTCATTTTTATATATATATTTTCTTCCATACCATACAGTCCGTTAATATGCAATTTTAACAAACGATCGCCTTTTCTGCATGTGCGCTGAAAGTGACTATAATTAAACAATTATCATAATTATATGATTATCATTTATAAAATGTATACAGGCGACAAACTTTTTTTCAGGTTAATACATAATCTCACTTACGGCTCCTGTGTGGCAGTTTTGAACTAGCAACCTTAATGGTCACGGATGGTTTTCATACATTACTGGCTGTACTTGTGTTTGAGTGACGGGATGTCATTCAGAAGGTCAGTGGGTGGAGCACCAGTCCAAGACATAATTTAATGTCCATATCTTTAATTAATTAGTACTGTAGTCTTTACGCATTTGGGGATTTATTTTAGTTGTGCCAATTAGCTGCTGAAATGCTTCCTGTGCCTTAATTTCGATGGCATTCTGGGAAGGTCTTTTGATCTACCCAACCTGAGTGCTCCAGCACAGACCTGCTATTCGACATGTCTCTCCCTTAAAATGTAAATCCAACCTGCCAGATTGCCCCCTGGTGCCTGGGGGTGCCGTCACATCTGGGGGCTTCCATGTCCCTCCGTATCACAGTGAGGGCTATGGGTTTGCTCGTCCAGTGGGGGCTGCTGCCCTGTTATTGAGTTACCATTGACTGCTTGGACAGGGGCGTGCCCTCCGTGACTGGCGGGCCGTGATTTGCCGCCCTGAATTCGAGAGCCCCCTCCTCTGGGAAATAAATCGCTCATTGCTGCCTGACGGCCTGGCTCTGCATAAGCGGCTCCCTTGCCTGTCTTCCTGGCGTCGCAGTGCTCAGAGATGGTGTATGATGTCGTAAGTGTGCCTCAGTTTCCTCTGCATTACCTGTATGCCTTAGGAAAGGTCCCCCCCCAGCCACCCCCCCGCCAGGCTGCCTGTCACTTTCTCACGTAAAGCTGCACGCCTCTTCCTGCAGGCTGACTGACATGCTGGCGGTGCAGGTTCTGTCTCCTCCGGCCAGACCGGAGCACCTCTCCGAAAAACACGCAGTGCCGGTGTGACCTGTGTGCCCGTGCATATATTTGCATCTGCTTCTCATCCCCTCACTGCCATAAATAGTCTACAAAGGCCCACTTTGTGCGTCCATCTTGCAGTACTTTTGAGTGCTTAACTGTCAGTGCTGTCAAAATCGCGGTGGTCTTTGTGGTGAGGAGTAAGCTGAAATGGTGATGGTTTTGAGAGACACTTGGCTGTTCCGCTTCTCTGATTCAGTTCTCACTCTTCCTTGTGTATGATCTTCTGGCTCATGATGAAATGTTCCCTCCGCTGGCCAATATTGGCCCAAGATGGCCGAGAGCAGAAGTACAGGTGTGTCAGCGTCCGTTTGTGCCTGTTCCCCAGGCTCACCTTAATGGCACCAACCTTTCGCCGTATGCGTTGACTTTCACTCCATAATAATACCCAGCTGTACAGAGAACACTGCACTGATAGCTTATCATCTATGGTCTATGGTCGCACGCAAAGGTGAAGCACTCTGAATGCTTAGATACGGGAGGCCCTCCAGGTTTTACCAATGAGGAAGGGTCTATTCAGTCTTCTCCAAGTCCCCTGCGTCATGATTTCTGGACCTGCATCTCGCCCAGCAGAAACAGTATGATGGGCTGCTCGCTGGATCCTGACTCCGGCGGACCAGGGGTTTGTCCTTTGATAGCATATGATGGCATCTCTTCTTCCTGTTTCCAACTTGCCCTGGATCCATTGCCGACTGCTTTTTGACTGCCCTGTAACACTCCTTCATCCTGGTCCGTTAAAAGCAACCCTGGTCACTATTGAGGGACAATCTGTTGTTAGGGGGTGGAGTCAGCGGGCCGTGTAGCTGCTCCCAGATTCAGGGTTCCGGTTACAGTGACACAAGGGATGCAGTAGGGTTCAAATCAGGTAGGTGAGGAGGAGCAGGGTGTGCTGATGGGAGTTGCACTCTCTGAGTTGATTATGCAACACAGAACACTTCTGTTCAGGTATTTTTAAGTTGCTTAGCAAGCACTGTACGAGATACTTGCACAGTTTATACTTTTATAATTTAGTATGTATCTGTGTAGCTTAATGTTTAATTTTTTTACTGTGCACCGCTGAGGATTGTAACAGGTGAAATTCTGATGTCTTTAACCGATATGCCCCCTACTGGCACTACAATTAATTAGCTTTGAGTGCTACTTCCGTGCATCCTGTGAGTAACCGTGGCCCCTCTGTCACCCGCAGTCACCGACGTAGAGCTGAAGCGGCTGAAGGATGCCTTCAAGAGAACTAGCGGCCTCTCCTACTATATGAACCAGCAGTGTTTCTACAAGGAAGTTCTTGGAGATGGGGTCCCGCCCAAAGTCGCGGAGGTGAGTCGGGTTTCACAACAAGGGCCGTGCCCACAGGATCTCCGAAATTCCTCATCGTCCGCAGCGCCCTTCCCATTCCCTTCTGGCTCGAGCGGGGCACCAAGAATATGCCCGTTCATGTAGGAGCATGTGATCTCCTCAGCCAGTGGGGAAACCAGGTGCAGCGGTGAAGTGTGTAACAAACAGGAACTCAAAACCTATAAACAAACTGCCTCTCAGATTCTGTGTTTTTTTTGTTTTTTTTTTTTGGGGGGGGGGAGGGTAGTAGCCTCATTAAGAAACCCCATTCAGTCTCATGAGATCCGCAAAGCTCCTGCCTCCTGCGCCTGCCTTCCTAAGCGCTGTGGCGATCTTACAGGAATGCTGGGAAATTCCACAGGGCCTAAGTCATGCACGCTGGTGCTGAGCACATGGGCTGAGTGGTGTGGTTTCTAGCGAGTCCAGTGTGCACCTCAGAGTTGTTTGGGTGGCGCTGTAGAGCCCATGGCTCATGGCCTCCCTGGGGCCCATGTGGTCTTGCATTTACGGTTACAGTAATATATGCATGTCAGTGTAACAGTTAGTATTCCTGTGAAGATCCCGCAGCCAGAACCACAGATGTAAGAGTTTACTGACATCGTGAACGGTGAACTGGAAACGTTCCAATCGTGGTCGAGATAACATATAACTTCTGACACGTAAGCGTTTGCCTTAAACAGAAGGATCGTTTTCATATTTTTTTTGTCTTCATTCTGTAATCGTGACCTTCAGGAGATGGGTGTATGCGTGTGTTTGCGCGCGTGGGATTCTTCTTTTGGAAATGCTACAGCTTGGAAATGGAGGGTGGACAATGACAGGGATTGTGAGGAGAGCGGGCCACCACTCCCTCTAGTAAAGTCAGAAATAAAACAGAGAAAACGTATGAAAAAGAGCTGATTAAAAATGGAAACAAAAAGGGCCAAAGAAGGAGTGACAAAGAGGCTTTGTTATTGCAGGGATTGTTTCAGAGAGCAGGTGACTTTGAGAATGAAGGACGTGTCTGAGTTGATGTTATGAGGGACGGAGCAGACATGCATCTGTGTGCTTGTGCTTCAGGCTTTATGTGCTTAATGTCCCATCATGATTAGTGGTATGCTTTTATACGCTCGTGCTCGGTGTATAAAAAGGGCAGCAGGCTCTGTTGCCTGTTCTGTTAGATGACGAGACCCCAGCGATGTTGGCAGAAGGTCTGTTGATGGAGCCCACAGCTGGCTGATCGCCCATGGATGGGCCGATTAATGGCTGCTGGTGTGGATGTGTGCTAAGGGAGGCGTCGTCCGCTCTGGGTGATCTCGGGGGTGGGGGGGGGTTGGTGTCCAAACTGACATCTGCGTCCGGCTGATTCAATCTCAGGCGTGAGCAGGTGGCGGCGGAGCTCTGGTTCACGTCTCAGAGCAACGCCCTGGTCTGCTTGCAGTCCCTGAACCCCTTATTATGCCTAAAAATACTTTTTTTTGTGAGAATAGATTTTGGCAGCAGTGGGGGTGGGAGCGGCAGCAGCTGAGCGCGATAGCAAGGCCCCCCGGGCGGTCGCCGACCCAAGCCGGGTGGTTCCCTTGGTGGTTTCTGTACCTGGCATGGCGTGGGTCCACTGAGCCGCACAGAGGGCAAAGGTGAATGTCATCAGGAGGGATCCCATTCACCCAGAGCTGAAATGTTTCTGTCCCAAATGGGGCGAAGTCCTCTGACGGAGCGTGAGTCCCTCCCCACCCCCCACAGGACACAAGGCGCCGCAGTCATTCTGATCATCAGATAGCCACCCAGTTTATGGAAGCTTCTGAAACAGTGCAGGAAAAGGCTTTTTCCACCAGCATCAATAAAAGGAATGAGCCCCTCAGCCTTTCGGTATGAGGAGTACCGTGAGGTGTATGGAAAGGCACGGGTTTATGGGACGGGTCACAGTGGTTCGACCGTGCACTTCTGCTTTCATTTAATTTTTTTATCACCATGGCACCCAGGGGACACTGATTGCAAAGGTTGATACGTTTAAAGTTTATAGACTTATACGAGATTCAAGCAGCATCCTCAAGCTCTGCTTAATTCGTCAGAGAGAGCGGACACGCTCCATGGCTTTCTACATTTGGGCCTCATTTAGCAGCTGAATTTTGTAACATTTTCTTTTGAAAGCTAACGGCGGACCTCATTAGCAGCGCGGGTTAGAGTCCTTTGTACACACGGCATCTGCAGTCCTATTCGGCCGCGTCTGGTGTAAACATTCGATCTCGGCAGCTCGTCGCTAGATCTGAAAATTCCGCACATTGTTACATAGATGTCAAGGGAGGAATAAACCAGAATGAAAGGCTGGAGCCCTGCGCTTCGTTCGCTTCGTTTGCTGCAGCTGGGCTGGCGTCCATTTTACTTTCTTTCACGGCTGTCCTGACGGTGCCCGTTTACAGATAACGTTCTACTCGGATTGTTTGACACCCCTAGCTTAGGTAGCTTTGAAGTTGCTCCAATTGAAGTCATTAAAACAAAACAATGTTTTTCTACGTGTGTCGCTCTCTGGACGGAACCTCACGTCTGACACAACACTGGTTTGCCTTTCTCGCAGTTTGTGTTTCTGGTTGGATCAGAATTTCTAAAGTTCTTTGGATTTTTGCTGTAGTTATAAGGAGTATGAAATATAATCGATCTAATTTGCAGGATTTTACTTTGTGCCAGACTGACGTGTGCATTCTGCTACTGATGTGCATGGGCTGCCTTGGGTGTAATTATAATAAACTTAATATATTTTATTATAATTATAATTATAATAATTATAATTATACTTTACCATCTTTAAATTTTAATCCTTGCCAGAAGGATTACTAACAATAAGAAATGGATCAGAGTCTGTAATAGAGAGCTGAAAATCTGATCGCCCTGCATTGTAAATGTGTGTCCACACACTTGGGTATATCCATAAACTCAAAACAAACTTATGATTGTGGAGGGGAAGGTGTGCTGTCTCGGAACGCAAGGTGAACGCCTGTTTGTTTTCTGTCCAGACGGCCGCTAAAATAGGCCGTAATAAAATGGGAAACGCTGCGTCTACTGGAATTAAAACGCCCTTTGTGCTGCGTGCATAGGACACTTGGCCCCGTGGAGAAGGAACGCAGAAGGGCAGCTGGGTGGAGAGTTATATTTTGCGACTGCTGGTTTCCAGCGACGTTCTGTGAGTGCGAGCCAAGGTTCCGCCGAGTCCCGAGGTTCCCGTGGCGACAGCACTGCGAGGACCAAGAGCCCATTGCGGTCACTGCACTGCCTGTACTCCACCTATATGGGTTGTGGATAGAGCAAGACACTCTCGTGTGGGTGCTAGAGGGTGCCAGGCTTGGCACGCAGCCATGTCACGTGTACGTAGGTGCAAAGGGTCCCACGGGTCTTGTGTTTTTGTCAGGTGCATGGTACCGGTCTCCACGCACGTGTGAAACATGCCAGCATACAGACGTGCTCTGACACGCACAGACTGTAACACACACTCGAACACATGGCTAGAGTGTCTCTCACACTCACGCACAGGTTTTGAATGTCTGTCATTCAGCATGTCGACCCTGGCAGGAATGAACAGACCGGCATGCCCTGTCAGAGACTGTCATGCTCCCAGCCCCCTAGGCTGTTAATCCTGAGCCTGACGGTGCAGTCTGACGCTCCTGCTGTCCGTGGGCCGGCCGGCACAGCTGGTTCCTCCCAGTTGGCCCAGCCAGACTGATCCACTTGCCTAATGCAGATGCAAAACCCCAGAATCTGAATCAAACCCACGACCCTGGAAGTGTGAGGCTACAATACCAACCGCAGGCTTTCACTGCTGAATGCCACTGTTGGCAATTTATACTGGGAAGTGACTCTGTTCATTTGGTTATTTTTACCTCTACCCTGGGCAGTATAGCATTTCCCGCAGTTAAACCACGCTTCTCGCATGTTGAACTGCATCTCCTTTTTATTTCCCTGGAACCTGCAGCTTCCTGCCTCCATTCAAATCAGTCTTGGTTTATTTTTATATTGCGCCCTCCTCAGGATGGGAGGTCCCGGGGCGTTTTAACAGCTCTGTAATAAATAGAGTGGAAAAACCTATTAAAGTTGTGTGATTTCTGAAGCTGTGGAGCGACTGGAAGGATAGGGGAGCTCCGTGAGACATGGATCCTATCCAGCCCATTCCAAACATTCCTGCCTCGCCTTTACCGTCCGGCACGTAACTCGACCGTCCTCTTCTAGGACCCGAGGAGACAGGTGGCGGCAGGGGGCCCCAGGGGCCACCACAGAACCTCTACCATAGGCAGTAAATCGTCCGTATTCTTCTAGGCGTATGTTTCCATCTGACAGGCTTTCGACACATGGATTGATAGTCGCAGATAATGCTTTTTGCAGATGACCTTCAGGCAGGTTGCGCTGGTGTCGGCACGTACAGGAGATCAGCCACACGCGAGCCGACACGCCTGCCACAATGTCCGAGCGGGATTTCAGCACCGGGGGGCATATCTCGGTCAAGCTGTATGGACAAACTCGGGTCCTAGATGGGCGAGTGGAGGATCTCGCCTCGCCATGCCTTCATAGGACACCTCGGTTACCTCGCACTCTTTCCGGCATGCGAGGTACGGCCTCCTCATTCCCGTCCTCTCCTTCCCGTCCAACCCCACGCGACACCCCGGTACGATGGAGCCTCTCGCTTTCAAACCGCCATCCTGGCGCCGTGCCATATTTAAGGAGGCAGGGGTGCGGAGTGGCAGGGAAAACAAAACCCTTATCAGGCACGAGCAGGCGTGGAAGGCGGGAGAGGGAGGCCACCGATGGCCGGCAATTAGGGGATTCATCCAAGCGCCACCTAGCTCCCTGGTCCGTAACACCAGGCGATTATAAGCACCCGCAGCCCCCCCCTTCGCAGCCCCCCCCTTCTCTATCACTAACATTTGAATAAACACTTGCCTTTTTTTATTTTAAATAATGCCCCTTTCTTTCAAGCCCGACACCTCGGCGCTGCCACACTCTTTGCCCACTATGGCGTG